TTGCTACTTCATCACTGTAATTTTGCTACTGTGATGAATCGGGCGGCCCCTGTGAAAGGGCGACCCACAGGTTGAGAACCGCTTCATGTCCCAGTGATGGTTCTAGTCCCCTTCAGTAGTCCCACCTGTAATTATGCTAGTTTATTGATTATGACATAGGGATCCACCACCAATCATGAATTGTGAGTTTCCTTTGCATTCCATGTCTTATTTATGCAGCTGTGTGGCTATGAATCCTTGGATGCCATTATGACCTCGTGCTAATGGCCCTCTTCATCTGGATATGTTTCTGTCCTTGTGTTGTCTTTGGCCTGTTTAAGATTTAAAATAAATGTCCTCCTTAAATTATATTAATAACTACTGCTTTATTAATTATGTTTCTTCCATGTCTATATCAAACAGCTCTGGTAGTACAGTGGTTAACTGATCAGCTGAGAACTTTAAAAAGCCAGTGGTTCAAACTATCGAGAGGCTCCCTAGGAGAAAGACCTAGTAATCAACTCCCCTGAAGGTCAAAGCCTAGGAAGCCCGATAGGGAGACCCTGTTCTGCCTACAGGGTCCTTATGAATCGGTCTTCTCCTCCGCCCACCTCCAGCAAGAATAGTTTGCACTGTGTATGTGTTCATGCAGTGGCCTCTGTGACCGCCAGAACTCCTCAGCCCTGCCTTGTCCTTCTGCCTCTTGTGGGTTTTCTGCCCTTGACGGGGGTACTCTTTTTAAAAAAAATCATTTTATTGGGGGCTCATACAACTCTTATTACAATCCATCCATCCATTGTGTCAAGCATTTTTGTACATTTCTTTCCCTCATCATTCTCAAAACATTTGCTTTCTACTTGAGCCCTTGCTATCAGCTCCTCGTTTTTCCCTTGCTTCCCTCTCCCCTCTCCCCCATGAACCCTTGATAATTTATGTTATTATTATTTTGTCATATATCGTCCGGAGGACGGGCGGAGTAGACTTGCCATAGTTGAAGTAGGTGTGATCTGACTCGAAAGGATGTGTATTGCATTTGTTACTGAATATCAAGAATACATTTTTTTTTTTTTGCTCAGATAGAGTAAGTTTAAAATGGGGTCTTTTGTAGAAGCAC